TATATATATATATTTATATAATATGTATGTATGTGTGTGAGTGTGTGCGTATATGCGTGTGTGGGTTGGGCTACTTTGACAACGGTGTATCTGTGTGGCTGCGGGAGGGAGTGGGTCCTTCTGCAGCCTCACGGCCTCGTCTGCTGCTGTGCTACTTGCTACCTCTTCGCATTGCTGTTGTTGCATGTTTGCGGTGCTACGCTAAGGAGAAGAAGAAATAAGGGGTATCTGGTGTTGCCAGCGTACTAAAAGGAGACGAACGCGTATTAGAACATATACGGACAAACACACACGCATACAAAAACAAAAGGAGTCTGTCAATGCTCCCTGCACAAGAGAAGCGCCTACACGAGGAGATGGCGGCCACATCAGTAAAATGTGAGCCGATTCCGGTGTTAAGAAGCGATGCTAAGCGGCTGCGGCTTGAAATCGACGCCAGCGCTGCCATCACACCGGCGCGGCACGCCTCCACCGATCATCAGCACGAGTATCATAATCAGCAGCAGCCCTCCGTGAATGGTGTGTCTCCCGACAGTTGCGACGACGACGACGACGATGTCGAGGAGCCTGCGCTGTTTTCCAGCCCTCGGCGCTTATGCGAAGACGTGCGCGTCTGTGGCTCGTCAGGTCCAGCTCAGCCGCAGCAGAGCCAGCCGCAGATGCGTCGCATCGCCCGTGCCCCGGAAGTCCACGGTGCCGTGACGAAACTACACTCGTTGCAGCAGCTGGAGGCGGTGTTCGGTACCGCCCCGCTGCCGTGCGACGGCCCCGTGGAGTTGTCGGCGCCGTCGCTTCCGCGGCTGCGGGCTGGCGAGACGGCGATAGTCGTACTGCACAACGGCTCCGCGGAGGCGCGCGAGCTACTCCGCCCCCACACGGGGGAACTGTCGAAGTGCCGCATCTTCCGCCTCGATCTCAACACGCTGCCACCGTGCGAGTACGAGAGGATCGGCGACGGCGGCCATAGAATCAGCGGCGTGCCGCAGGACGCGGCGTGCCAGGAGCAGTATCCGGTGAGTTTGTCCCCACCATCGCTTTCCTCACATATCCTGCGGGGCACGGAACGTCTGCTGCAGCGTCTCACCACCCTTCTCCGCACAGACGAAGTGCTCAATCCGTGCGACCCTGAGGCACCATCGCCGACGCCACTCAACAACGGCGATGCGCAGTCCTCACAGCACGCCACCACCGCGCAGATGGATCCTCCCGCTCAGGAGTTTCGAGGGAAACGTGAGGAGCTCACGCTTCCCGCAATGATTGTGTGGCGCGCAGAGGGCGCACCAGAGGACGAATACGTTAACAACGGTAAAAACAGCAGGAGCGACGTTGGAAATGAGGACGGCTTGGTGGCTGCCGAGTCGTACGGGCGGCCGCTGGTGGTGAAGCAACTCACCGTGGTCGACCAGCTACACTCGCTGTCGCTCTTCGCGCCGGTGTACACCATAGAACACTTCCTCCGCACCGTCGCTACGACTGCTCTCTTCCCCAAAGAAGCCTCTTCTGCTTCTTCTGCTCCTGCTGATAATGCTACTAACGGTACCACCGCGTGTGCGTCTGGCACTCGCTCGTTCATCTACTTTGGCGCCTCCTGGTGTCCGCCATGCATGCGCATCGTTGGTGTGTTGCCGGCGATGTTGAAAGAGGACTTCCCGAGCAACGTCACGTGCTGCGTGAAGGCTGACATGGATCTCGCCATGCCGCTGTACGATTTTTTTGATGTGAAGATCATACCTACGTTTATCATGTTCGACAACGACGTGCTGCGGCAGGCGGGCAACTGGGACGCGCTGCGCAGTGGCAAGCCCCTCGCGGAGGCGACGCTGCAGCAACTGAAGGAGGGTCTCCGCCGCAGCGAGTTGGGCCGCATTCAGAACTCACAGCGGCTCATTGTTCGCTCATTCATTGAAAAGCACTCGGCCGGCCTGAAGTTTGACGATGACTTTTGAGTTTTTATTTTGTTCATTATTACCATTATTATTATTATTATTATTGGTTACGGAGTCGCGTCGCTAGCAGCACTCCGCCCAATGCGACCGACTGTGGTGAGTGTGTCGTGCACGTAGGAGGGACGCAATGCGTGCGGAGTAGAAGCAGCGCCAGTCCTGTCCACCGAGTGGTACCCCCATAGACATTATAGATGTGAGTTGGCGTGTCGCGCATGCCTTTGTGTGTGTGTGTGTGTGTGTGTGTGTG